ACCTTTCCAGGAAAAAACAAAGCATTTAAGGATGGAAAGCAGGGCTGACAGGTGCCATCTGTCTGAGTATGGCCAGGGTAAGAGAAGATAGCTTGGAATTAAGAAGATAGAAACTCTTAATAAATTTGTTTGGAAAAGGTGATTGGAACAAAGGAGAGAGGACCTCAAGTGGCAGAAGGGGTTACATGAGTAAATGAGTCATCCTCCGTCTCGTGCAGTCTCAGCTTGCAGACACAGTGTGGGGCTGTTTCTGTTGTGTGGTTTGGATGCTCTGCCCGACCCTGTAGCATCTGTGGAAGGCAGGAGTTACGTGGAATTGGACCTTGCAGAGCCTGCATAGTCAGAGCCTTGGAGTTTATGGATAGAGATACTTTTGCCATATATGCTTTAATCCCCCGAATCCTTAAAGTAGCCAAGTGTAACCAAGTCATAACTTGATGACTTGTGTTGTCACAGACATAGCTGTCAGCCTCAACTGGTGCGCCACCTCCCAGGCACCTGCACTGTGGGCCTTTGGCTCCTACTATTTCCAGATCACTCTAGGTTGCTGTGTGTCTTGGAGCCTTCTTTGTAGACACTGTCTTCTCTTGCAATTTAATTTTTTTTTTTTAGTTGTAAATAGATACAGTTCCTTTATTTTATTTATTTTTATGTGGTGCTGAGGATTGAACCTAGTGCCTCACAGGTGCTAGGCAAGTATTCTACCACTGAACCACAACCCCAGCCCCTCCTTTGCAATTTAGTAGCTCTTTGCATTCTCTGATTATACTTGGGTCAGCTCCTCTCCCTTTCTGACTTGTTTCGGGTGGTTTTTGCCCATGAAGAGGAGCACTGAGCTTGGTTAGAGTCAATGGGGCTGGAGCGGAGGTTGGCAAAATTCAGCTCTCATGCCAGTGCCTTTGCATAACCTGCGAGTTTAGAATGGCTTTAACATTTTTTAAAATTCCAAAGAGTAATAATGTGTTTCACATGAATACTATGTGAAATTCAAATTTTAATGTCAACTCTGCTTGGGGGTGTGACCAGGTTGACTGCTTTGGTGTGCTGCTCAGCAGAAGTGAGTAGTGGCAGCAGAGACCTTGTGGCCTGCGAACTGAAAGTTTTCATCATTCTCTGGCCCGTTAGAAGGTTTGCCAACCCTGTGCTGGACCACAAGGGTCCACTTTATTGCATAAAGACCATGCTGCTGTCATAGAGACTTTGACACATCATCTTGGCTTTTTGATTGTCTAATGTGAACTGTGGGGGAGATCTGGGCAGGAGGCAGAGACCCTTCCCTACAGTGGTCCTTAAGTTACTGTTCAATTACTGGTTGAAAAACAAATGGTCCCCAGCAAGTAGGAGTGAAAAGAGAACCAGGAGTTGGGAGCACTGAAGAGAGTCTTGCGGAGGTGGTGAGGCAGGCTAAACTTGGAATCTTCTGAGGGTCTCACTAAACAGTAGTTTTTGAACTTACGGTCTTGAACTTGTGGTCCTCCTACATCAGCCAGTCACTGGGATTATAGGCATGTGCCACTGCATCCAGCTCTATGTGTTTGTTTTTTTAAAAAAAAATATTTATTGTTTAGTTGTAGTTGGACAACACAGTACCTTTATTTTATTCATTTATTTTTATGTGGTGCTGAGGATCGAACCCAGGGTCTCGCATGTTCGAGGCAAGTGCTCTACCGTTGAGCGACAACCCCAGCCCTCTTTTAAGAAGTTAATTATGTATGTTTTAAAATTGGTTTCACATTAATATTTCAACAATTTGGGGAAGGGGATTGGTGAGGATTGGTCCTTTTCTGACCTCTGTGTGGTACTTAAGGATTAAGTGAGGAGATGAGTAGTATTTAAGGAATAAACAGTGAGGTATATTTATAATCTATGTATTGGGCAGGATCCCAGAATTGTTGCCAGAATCTTCTAGCCTGGCTCCCAGAGATGGCTAGGCTCAAGGGAAGGTAGGTTGAGTGCTAACCTCAGTGTTGCTGTGGCATTAGGTGGCCGATTCCACTCATCCATTCCAAGTAGCGCAGTCAGGCTGTGTGTCTGAGTGGTGGCCCTGTGTTTCTATCCCCAGTCCAGTGGCACTGATGACTAGTTTGTAGCCATGTTTCTGCTATGAGCACAGACTGAGGGCCCAGGTGATGGGCTGCCTGTCTGGCCTAGGTGGCCAGGCCCTCTTGCACTGGCTGAGGACTAACACCCCTTCTGCTCTCTCCCACTCCCTTCTACATGTTCCTCTGCCCTGGCCTTTGACTACCTGCCTCTCTTCCAAGCTTCTGTCCTTGGGCTCCATTCAACTCTCAGTTAACTTCTGTGGCCTGAGATCCGTCCTAATAGGAAAATGCTCAGCAATTTGATGGGGCTGAGGAGGGCCTGTTCCTTCAGGGATGTGGCTCTGGGGGCATGCTTCTTCTGCTGGGTCCTGTCACCATGTGAACTTATTTTTAGTAGGACACTTAGAGAAATAGCCATGTGCCAGCCTCTGTTTTCGCTTCCTCTTTGTAGAATTGATTTCAGGTGACTGATATTAAACTAAAGAAAATTGATTCTAGTTTCAAATCCCCCAATTTGCACTCAGAGCACAGGCACTAAAAATTTTGTACAATCATTATTAAAATCCATTTCCTAACCTTTGCCTTCCAGGTGATTGAAAACTTGGCCTCAAAACAAAAAATTCACTAGTTATGGTAAGCCCTTTTCCTATCTCTACATTTTGTCATTGTAGAGCACTGAGAGGACACAGATCAAGTTTTAATTCTGAAGAAAACATAAGGGCCTTATGGTGCTGTTGCAGCACCTGGGCTGGGGCAGTGGCCTGGGGTGGTCCAGCTGTGGGGGTCTCAGCTCCCTCTAGCCAGGCCAGCCTGGGCAGCAGACACTTCTTAGACCTGGAGATGTGTTTAGATCCCTTTTCCTTATTGGCTTTCCCAGGACTGACCAGGAGGATGCTTGTCACTGAAGTCACTCCCTATCCCTTTCCCTCATCTTAAAAAATGCCAGCGAAACTCAGAAGGAACAGACTGCCATTTGTCTGGATTTCCCCAACCCAGACCTGCCACATGTCTGTCCTGAGAGCCAGGCCCCAGGATCCCTATACCTGCACCACCATCCCTGCACACACCCAGGGCAGAGGTATAGAAGTCCTGCTCCCCTAGCAGCGTGTCAGAGCTGTGGCCATGTCATGTTAATGCTTGGCTTTTATTCATGGTACTGTACTCTGCACTTGCTGAGGGAAAGGTAACAGTGAACCATTTGGCCCTTGAAATTTTGTCCAAATGTGTCTATCATGTCAAATCAGTAAGGAGGATTTTAAATGAGTTTTAAAGTGATTATATCTACAGGAGAATTATCTGCAGTTAATTAACAAGCCTTACCAGTGTCTCCTCAAGGGAAAGAGCTAAGTCTAAGGAAACTAAAACTCTTCCCAAGTGAAAGTGGGAGCTGAGGATTGGGGCAGTCTAGCAGCAGTCTGGGCTCCAGGCAGGCCCAGCTGGGCCCAGCAGATGGCGCCTGCCTGGCCTCGCCACCAGCCCACGTCTCTAGAACTGCCTGGCATTTCTGGGTTCCTTTACTGTGATGGGAAGGCAGAGTGACCATTTCAAGGAAGAAGAGCTTCCCCCAAACCCTGGGGGAGCTGCTGACAGGGTTTTCTGAAAAGGAGGGCCCATCTTGGCCTCCGTTCCAAACTAACGCCTGCGCCTCTTGTCTTTCAGATTCAACGTGTTCAACAGAAGCCATCCCCAACCCAGCTTAAATTATAAACATAGAAAATAACTTTGTTCAAATCTGCGTGGTGCTTCTTTAGTAAATATGTACAGATTTTACCATGGAGAACTTACTTTTTTTTTGTTTTGTTTTGGTTTTTTTGTTTGTTTGTTTTGTTTTTGTTTTTACCTTTTCTTAATTGCCCTTATTCCAAATGGATGAACACTTTCTACAACTGCTGACCACTGTAAGATACCGTGTATATATATCACAGTGAAAATAATGCCCTGGAATAGAACATCTCAAATGCTGCTTAATTACAGACTCAGGTTGATTACTTGTATTTCATGTAATGTTCCTCCAAGTTAGACATCTGGTGCAAGACCAACCGGGAAACCATGGAATTATTAAAAGTACAAACTGACAGTGTGTATATTTAATTTAAAGACTTATTTAAAGATTCACAAGCTCTCAACTAAACTTTTCGAGGGCAGTCTGTTTTCTGTAATGTCTGATACTAGAAACTAATTTGCTTCATATTTTAGTTGTATTCAAGATTTGAAAATGTATTTTATAGACAAGTTCTGTTTTTGAACTTTGTGGAACTATTCCAATCAATTTACCAGTTATGATGAGTATTTACATTATGAATGTATAATCTAAACATTATTTGTACAGCCTACGGTATGTTTTTATTACATAACACTTTTTTATACAGCGTCCTTGTCTTGACTATATGGTATTGGAGTCTGAGTTGTCAGCTTGGTCCCTTAAAGTTTCTAGTTACAGACAAAAATCATACTGTGATTTTATTTTTAATATGGATATGCTATCAAACTGTGATACACTTATAATTCACTGGTCCTGCATCAGGAGATGGAGTGGGGAAAACTGTATTTAATACAGTTTGTATCTGAATAATCTGTATGGTTTATACAGTTTGTGTTGTTCAGAGATGTCTAAAGTTTGATCTTTGTTTTTTTAAAGATTGAAAAAGCACTTGCCCCACTGTAAATAATACAGCATGTAAAATTTATATAGTATATAAATGGCAGCAAATTAAACATTTTGTGTCTTGTTTTTTACTCCTGTTTTCCCCATTTGCTTGCGGTATGTCTCACTGACTTCTTCTGCAGTCACTGTAGACCCACAATGCTCCTGCCACATGGTCTGTCAGTAGGTGCCTCCAGCCAAGCTGTCAGGCCTGGAACAGAGGTACAGACCCCAGGAATTGGTCAGGGAAAATCAGGCAGTGGTTTGCTGGACCCAACATATTTCTAATTTGAAGAACCAAGTCTTAGACAATCTTGTCTTAATAATACATTTGATTTTTATTTAGTGAACACAATATCTACAAGAGTTTTGACAGCCATATACCCTCCAATTTTTACTAACTTCACTCTGCAACAAAATATCAATAGATATTTTGATATCAATAGAATACTTCTTCATGCAAGTTGTGGGAAATATATACATTGAATAACAAAACACTCCAGAAATCAATATATATGTACATTATTTACATACTGACTACATTTATTGTAAATAGAAATGTCTTCTAAGAAAAAAATAAGAAAATGAGAAATCACAACTTGTGGTTTCTGGTCTATAATAGACCTAACTTCTCAGCAAAGCACATCTGTGTAGATAAATGCATTTGTAACTCTGAAAATAGGCATTGCTTTACATGAAGCATTCAATGCTGTTTCATCTACAAACAGCTCCTCTTATGACTGTTTGGTACCACATGAACTGCTCAAAAGTGTTCTGGACCCTGAGGACAAAGGTGCATGTCTGGGTCCAGAGTCAGTCCAGTTAAACCTCAAGTGATGGCCAGGACCCAGGGAGCCAGGCTAGAGGGGCTGTGGAAGCTGCAGTCTCCAGCCCAGGGTTCCTCTCCTCTGCCTACTGCCCTTTGTCTCTGGAGGAAACTTTGTCTTTGGCCAGAATCGGGCTAATCCAAGCACTGAGTGTAGACATTGGGGTGGAGAGGAGGATGAGCTTGACTGAGGCTGAAACTGCTGTCCCCCTCTTCTAGGGTGTCCTGGTGGAGGCCAGGTGTGTATTTGTCACTAGACTGGAGGATTTTCTGGACCTGGCCTAACAACTCATCCACTGCCTTTGGGTTAATACTGTCACAACAAAACCTCAGATTAGGCAAGTTCACGTAATACTCTTTGAGGGAAGTTACTTAGATTCTAAGTACGAAGGCCTTCTGGTATTGATCCCGGGTGACAGCCATCAGGCAAAGCTTGCTCACAAGATGACCGTGCAAACAAGATTTACCATCAGGTGACTTCATGCTCGCTTAACACCCCAAACCAGAAAGCTCCATGTTCCCAGGTCTGTACCTGGGTTAGACAGTCAGGAGAGAGGAAATGGCTTGTCCACATGTGGCAAACTGACCTGGCCAGCGCCGCAGCAGTCCTGGTTGGGGCCAGCCCAGTGATGGCCTGGCAAAGCTGCAGCATCAGTACTTGGCCAGGGGTCCAGGCAGCACTTGCACATGGAAGACTGGAGGCCAAGTTGCATATACACCAGTCAGGCATTTCAAGGGAGACTTGCCCAAACACTAAAGCTTCAGATTTGAGGTATCAATAAAGTAACAAAGCCTAGAAGCTCGGGTATAAACCAAATCAGTCTGATGCAGGATGGAGAGTTTCAGCCTTGGACCCCTTTGCTTGTATGACGTAAAGCTACATCAATGTCAGCCACACAGAGGCAAAGGGCTCAGGCTGTGCTGTCTCCTCCTCAAGGCAGTTCATAAGAATAATTACTTCTGCTATTTAGAACAAAATAAGTGCATATGGTCTGAGGTTTTCACTCCCGGATTTTGCACAGGAGTACAAATGACCTCCAAAGGGTGCAAATTCCAGGTGCAAATGGGGTAGAGAGAGCAGTTCCGGGGGGAAAAGGTCACCCACCAGCTGAACAGCCCATAGAGCTGAAGAAGGTCCTACATGCTCTGCACTGGTGCCATGAAGATGCAAAGAAACCATTCTACAAGGGGAGAGGGCTCTCTAATCCAGCCCCCATCTCATCTCCGCCTCATCCGCACCCTCATCTTTTGTGTCAGCAAGGATGGAACCCAAGGCCCTGCACATGCTAGGCAAATACTACCCTGAGCTACATCCGCGGCCCCCTTCATCCTGGTGTGTGTGTCCTTTCCACAGATGTCCTGAGCACCTACTATTGTACAGGGATGGCCACGTGACAATCCCCAGTTGTGGAGCTTTACAAGTCCCACCCTGGTGTACTGTTCACAGAAAACCCTACAGGCCACACACCTTCAGTCATAGCTTGCTGCTCTCACAGGGGAGATCAAATCTCTGAGAACATGATAGTAAGGAAGAATAAGATTATTCGTAGGTACTTATATATCCATTACATTAAAAAAATCAGATTAGTATAATGTCAAAATAAGCATTTTACCAAAAGTTTTAAATATTGATGAATGTGGTCAAAAGCTTATCAGACCAATGTATTAAAGTTGAACAACATGAAACTGCTGTTTCTAGGGGTAAAAACAGTCAAATATTAGCATTTTATGTGGTTCGATGCGTGGATGATTTGTGTCCAGGGAAAGGGCTTCATTGTCTAGGATTCAGCAGTACAGGATAAATACTTTATTTTAGAAAGCATCTGTGGGGCCAAAGCTGAGTTGAGGGGAGACTGCAGAGCTGATCACACACGGAGCCCCCAGTGTACCCGTCCTCAAGGATACCAGGCACCACCTTCCCCAGAGCACCTGTCTGTTCTCAGCCAGGCCCTATAGCAGCTCCTATCCAGGGCAAGTGCTCCACAGCCCGCCCTCTGAGTGCTGCATATATAGACTTTTTTTCAGTGCACGGTATATACTTGTGTCCAGGAGTTAAATTTATAGCTGCCATTCTAAAAATACTACTGTTAGAAAGTAAGTATCTTTCATTATAATTTCAGAATACAAAAAGGCATATAAAAGCTATAATCCTATATATCTGAGAAAAATTCTGAATAAAAAAAGTGGTAGCTTTTCCTTTCCTGTTTTGATATAAAGCAGCGGCTTCTAGAGTGGTCAACTCTGCCCCAATGTGCAAGCGTGGCATGACTGGTGCAAACGCAGTTCCTGCTGCGCGAGTCCTGTGTGTGCGATGAAGATTCCCACAGCCCAGCCAGGGGGCCTGATGCTTTGGACCTCTCCCATCATGGGCGCCCCAGAGGTGGCAGCTGACCACAGTCCAGTCCAAGTCACAGCACAAGGCTTTGGCGTGTGTGTTGGGGCCGCAGTTCTGGGGGAGCTGTGAGTGCCGAGCGGGATCCCACCTCCCTGACCTGCAGCTCTGCTGTGGGGTGTGGATCTTTCTGGTGACCTGCGGAGCCAGGTAAGTTCTATTTCTTATTGGCAATTCTTCTTTTCCTTGTGGCCAACATGTCATAGAAAGGATCCCTACTGATGCTTGCTCTGGGGAAAAAAAAGTGAGCAAGTCAGGGCCTAGGACAAGCCCTAGACCTCCACTTCCCACCAGCCCAGGGCCTCCAAGACTAGAGAGGAGATGGAAATAGGGTAGCTTCTCCAGCAGCCCCTGAGCTCCTACAGACAGAGAACATTTGTCCCGTGAGTCCCCAAGGCAAGCACTCACTCTGCTAGACCTTAACTCACTTGATGGATTTCATCCATTCCTCCTTCTCCTCTGGGCTCGGGGCAGAGATCCGGTACACCACGTGGTTCCCCTCCACAACTCGGCCATCCGCTTCTGTTTTGCAGGCCTTGATGACCTGCCCTTTGTGACTGGGATTGTAAAGCTCAAAGCAGTTCTGGTGGAGAGAAGGGGGAGGATGTCACGGGGGGCCAGACCAGGCTGTCTGCCATCAGGCTCCTTGCCTGGGGAGTGCCACCCCGTGGGTAGAAAGAAGCTGGCAGGAGAAAGCCACTTACAGGCTTCCGCGGGTCCTCCACCTCCCTGATGCTGAGGTTTTCCAGTGGGATGATTCCCCTAGGCTCTTTATCCTACAAGAGAAAGATGCACAGCAGCCTCAGCAGACCATAGGCGAGGGCCCCTCACCAGGGGGGGCTCTGGTGACTGCTGGAAGGAGGAAGAGTGGGCTCCCCACTTACCGTTGTGTATTCAAAGTAGTAGAGGCAGTTATCCGTCAGGATGAACCAGCGCCGCTTCCAGGTCTTCACACGCCCCCCTAGGAGCAGAAGGGCCCCATGAGTCAGGTGCTCAGGGTTGTGGAGCCCGAGGCCCGAGGGCCCAGGACCCACACCAGCTACTGCATTTGCAGAAAGACCCCAGGAGCCAAGCTTGGGCTTTAGTTTTCTGTTTCGTGAAAATCTTTATATTCTGACCAAGTTAGCAAAGTCAGGACAAGCTGTGTGGCCTGGCCGTCCAGTTGGGATGGCTGGGTGCATGGCTGGGGCCCACATGCACCCCCCACCCAGCCCACACAGGTATCCTCTCCATGGCCACCCAGGGTCACCCTAGATAACACAGCACTCTCAAATCTGCTTCCTGGAAAAGTCATAATGGATGGGTGCAATCTCCCCACATGAGATGATAACATGATGAAGTCAACGCCGCTCACCCAGGTCTATCCAGGGCTAATCCTGTTTCGTCCAAGTGTTATCACATTACTGGGTACTTTGGGCAGCCCTGGGATCCATCAAAGTCAATTACCCCTTGGCTCAGGGAACTATTAGATTGAATTAACTTAATCTTTTAACAAGATCTGGAGCACACACTACACACATGCACACACAGTCCGTCTGATCTGTTAGCCCTGACGCTCAGCACAAGCAACTTCAACTGCTGGCCTTGGCTTCTGAGGTGAAGTCAGGAGGTGTCGGGGCGGGTGGAAGTAAAGGAGGGAGAAAGAAAACACTGCTCACCACAACAGACCCAAGTGCTATGCGGATGCAGGTGAGAAGAGACCTACCTTCCCTTCCCCAGGGTTCACCAGTACTGATGGGGTGACAGGGAGCTGGAAGGGTTGGGGTCTGGGATCCCTCCTCGGGACTGGGAGCACTGTGTGGGGCATGGAGACAGAGCGGTGGAAGGAAAGGCGTGGGGGAAAGGTGAGGGTCATGTCCCGGGGCTGAGGTAGGAGCTTCCCTGACTGGTCTTCAGCTTGTGGAGACCCAGGATGAGGACACCAGAAGGAAAGTCAGTTTGGGAGGGAGGGAGCCTGACCCCACAGGCAGAGGCCCTGCAGGCAGGGGGTGTCTCCAGAGCCCAGCTGGGACCTCTCCCTCATCCCTGCCCCACTCACTGGACCTTCAATCTGTCCTTCCTCGACAGCCTAAAACAGATCAGGAGTCCAGTTGCTACGAAAGCAAGGGCCAGGAAGCTTTGGCATCCAGTTGTCCCTCCCTCTCCCCAGACTTTCCACCCCGCTCTGTCCTCACCAACACCATACCACTTCCATCAGTCAGAGTGTCTGAGATTCCTGATGCACCTCTGCCATCCCCTCAGAATGTCCCTGGGCCCCTCCCCCCACCAGATCACACCCTCATGCCACAGGCTCTGTGCTCAGGCTCCTCTGGCCTGGAGTGACATTCCTTCCTCTCAGCATCTCCACGCCTGGGTCCTGTTCCCCAGCTCCTGCACACAGCTTCACCATGGAGTCTCCTGCTCCCATGGCCTGGGCCTGTCTCATCCATCTTGACAGGAAGACCATTCCTTATGGGGGCCTGATAGGGAGCCCATTCTGCATGGGAGTCCTAACAGGGTGCCCCACAGGAAGCTGGTTCCATATAGGGGACATGATCCCATTCCATATGGGGTCCAGGTGACACTCGGGGCAACCTGCCTTATCTCAAAGTTTTCCAGCAACAAGGGGACAGAAGGACATTCTGTGCCCTACGATCACGAGAAGAGGACAATGCTAATTCCTTCCAGGTGTCTCCCCAAGTCCCAAGGCCCTGTGCCACATCGGCTGATGGCAGCCTCTACCACTGCATCTATCACCATCTAAAGCTCTGCCCCTCGGGCACTAGTGCATTTTCGGAAGCTGCCATGGTGCCCCCACCCACCCAGCACCTGCAGCAGCCAGAGGCGTCTTTTCAAAAGAGCCTACTGGTCACATCCCTCCCCTGCTTTATACCCCCAGAGGTTCTGCTACACTCAGTGTGAAGACCCAAATTCTGCGGCCCTGAGGGCTCCTGTGCTCTGCTGCCCTCCCAGCCACAGGCCCTGCCTCCACATGGCTGTGGGGGTCCTGGAGCTGTCTGTGATCCCAGGCGGCTCCTGTCCAGGGCCTGCTTTTCCAGCACACCCCGCCACGGCAGGCCATCAGGGCTGCCTGCTAGCTGTTTGCCCCTAGAATGCCCATCTCCACTGTCACTGACCTGCAGTCATCACTGGTCATGGACATGGATCTGCAGGAAAGAACCCTCAGCTTTGTGCCCTGGACCCCACTCCACTGCTTCTCCATTCAGTGCTGTGTCTGGAAAACCCACCCCCGTCCAGTCCTTGGTCAGTGGAGCCTCTCAAGCCAGGGCCGCAGGAGCCCAGACTGAGGTATGTCATAAGGGTTGGGCCCAAGTCTACCAGCCCAGGACACCTTTCAGCTCAGAGGTAGGCCTGGCAGGGATGGGCAACGCTCCTGGCCTCAGAGCCATGGCAGGTTCTGCTGAGAGATGCCAGAAGGCCCAGCCCACACCATCCATCCCCACGCTCACCTGCAGATAGGAGCCAGCTTCTCCTCAACAGGTAAGCACCACTTTGATTTGTAAATCTCCATCTCCACTGCTCCCAGGCCTGTGAGTGCACGCACACACGAAGGGCACGCGTGGCACAGGCATGCGCACACTTTCCCCTCCATGGCAGCTCAGCTCTGACCACGTTCTGTGTTTTTGATATGAGTCACTCTCGAAACCCATTGTCTTAAATTCCTCAACAACTGCAAGCCAGGCCTGTGCACTATGCCTAAGCTCCCCCACACCCAGCCTTGAGCAGCAGCTGCTCTGCAGCTAAATTTACACTGTGCGTGCGACATTCTGTCCGAATGCACATTTGGAAACCCACATTCTGGAGTTTTACACTTGTCTAGCCAGGTGCCTATGTCCCTGTGATGTCTGCCCTGTACTGGGAGGGTTTCTGCATGCCCACTCGGTACAGGGTCACACCTGGAGGCTGACCTGAGTCACCAGACTTGTCTTTTGGCACATATATTATTCTCTTCGCCCTTTGGGGACCAATACCATTGGATGTACCTAGTGGCCAGGCCTGGGCTCCTCCACACAGTTGGGGCAGGCCCACAGGCAGAGGCACCTCCAGACCCCAGGAGCTCTGCAGCGAGCCTGCTGTCATTCAGCAGCTCCAGGGCCTGCTGTGCACAGTGCGGGCCTGCAAGGCCTTGGCCTCCGGCTTTCCTGAGGAGACAGCAGATACAGGGGCTGCGGGGCAAGAGAGCTTCAGGTGCCAATGCTGCAGAGCAGCACCTGTTGCCCAGGCAGACCCCATGCCCCACTGGCTGACCACTGAGTTGAGGCCACATTTGGGTGCATGGGGAGTTCCTGGCACCCCACCTGTGCCCAGGACAACTGCACAGAAACACAAGCGCTCTGTGCACTCCCTCCATGGCCTTCTTATCTGCTCGTCCAGAAAACACGCTACAGACACAAGAAGTCTTGTGCCTTTATTTCATTCACTTATTTATGTCTTCAGAGCCGGCCTCCTCCCCAGGAACACAGAGGCCACCTGAATGGCTGTCACTGTCCCTCAAGGGGGCACTCTTGGGCAATGCAAGAAATGGAAGGAAGGAGTTTAATCCAGTGAGTGCCCTACTTATTACGGCTGAGTGCAACTGCTGGTGACTCCAGATGCGGTCCTCCTGCTGCCCTACTCCAGGACACAAGCACCACATGACTTGGAAGGTCTGGGGTATATCTGCTGTCACTCAGGCATCTGAGTCCAAGGCTACAGCACTCAGTATCCAGGCAAAGATCCAGAATCCTTCTAAACAGTGGCACAGCCAGAGAAGAGCTAGAGAGCAATGCCAAGGTTGAAGACCCCAGTGGGAACAGGCCCATGGAAACAGCCCCAGCCCATTAGCTCAGGTGGCCTGAGCCTGTCACACTGTCATCATGCAGCATCTCATCTTCCCTTCATGAAAAAATAATAAAAATCACCAGAATTCTAGCCCTCGGGTCTGACAGGCCACACAGCAATCATCTGTTCTCAGAAGTATCTCGAGAAAATACAGCAGTCACATCTTGTGGCCTTTACTGTCAACGTAAGGTAAAAATCCATCCCCCCCCCAGAGTCAAAATAACCCCTAAAAATTGCTACAATTGCCCATAAAGTGTAAGAGCCATTAGACTTGTCACCAGTGAGAAAGCCTTCAGAGCATCCCCAGGATCTTTCTGGGGGCTGTAAACATGCAGTGCTTGGTTAGTATGGGGAGACTGGTGAGGCTGTGGGACAGGCTGGTTACCAGCTTCTTCACTGCTGCAGGACCTAAAGATGGGGCAGGGGTGGGGGGCGAGCTTGTTCCCACACAGTGTCCCCATGCGTTCCTGGTCCTAGCCGATGCTGACCCTGTCCCTGGGGTGGGTGCCAATACACCACACCGTGCACAACGCTGACCCAGCAAGTCCAAAGCCAAATGGATCAGATGAATGGCAGCCACAAACCAGAGCTTCACACAGACCAACGTGGGGGAGAGAAACCGAAGGAGGAGTGAGCCGCTGGGGAGGGGAGGAAGCCACTGGGTACCTACCTCCTAACGCAGGACAAGCAGGGACAGCCCGTCACAGAACAGAAAGGTGGGAGCCACAGGCAGAAGGAAAACAACAAGAAGGCACATTTAAACCACTCGTCAAAAATCACAGCCACGCCAAACCAAGAGAAAGGCACACAGGTTCTTTGGAGATAAATGCACTTGCTTCTCGTACAGAAAACTGCCCTGGATTTACATAAATGCTAACTCAGCAGTTTTCTGGGATAGGTTGTGCAGTCCCTGCCATGGACACAGCAAGTAGGGCCTCACTCTGAAAGGCCACACTTCAGGGAAGCAGCCAACGGCCTGGCACGTGCGGCTGCTGAGAGCAGGCTTTGGCTCAACGGAATTGTCTTTTAATGTTGCTGCCAAGTGGTAAGGGGCTTTGCTACAAGGAGCTTGGGAGGACCCCACGGGAGCTGCTGCGTGGGCTGAGGGGCCACGAGCACAGGTCACACACAGCAGGCTCACCCAGCTTCAGAAGCCAGCCTTCCCGGTCTGGGTTGAAGAATGTGTGCGTCAAGTCATTCCCATCATCCTCTGGGATCTTAAATGGTTCATTCTTAATACTTTCATACAAGTTCTGTAAGGAGGAGAAACAACAGCAAGTTCAGGGTTTCAAACAGGAGAAGTAACTGCCCTTTCTCTCTCTCTCTCCAGTGAAGAAGGTGCATAAAGTGAGCAGGACCAAGAAAACAAAAATATGCCCAAATACGCAATTCAAAACCATGAGTCACCAGGTATGGTGGTCCCTGCCTGTAATCCCAGCTCCTCAGGAGCCTGAGGCAGAGACCCTGTCTGAAAATACAAAAATAAGTGATAAAATTAGATAAATAAATCAGAACTGCCAATTTTCATACATTTTGATAAATTTGAGGAAGGAGGAGAAACAGCAAGATGCAGTTCAGAAGCAGGGTTCTGAAGCTAGACACAGTGGCACATGTTTATGATCCCAGTGACTTGGGAGGCTGAGGTAGGAGGATAGCAGTTTAGCTTCAGCAACTCAGCCAGGCCCTGTCTCAAAATTAAAAATAAGTAAAAAGGGCTAGAGATGTAGCTCAGTGGAAAAGTACTCTTGAATTCAATCCCTGGTACCACACACACACACAAAAAAAAAAAAAAAAAAAAAAGGAAAAAAGAAAAGAAAGAAAGAAAAAAAGAGCGAGCAACAGGGTCCTGTGGGACTCACCCTCAGCAGCTCCTCTGGGAGGTCCCCTCCCTCGTTGATGCCGCGATTCATGGTGATGAACCGCTCTGCAGTGGGTTTGTCACGCACATTGTGGTTGTGAAGGCTGGTGTTGAGCATGATGATTGCAAATGACAGTACATAGCATGTGTCTGCAACAAGTCAGCGGACAGCAGAGGGCTCAGCAGCCTGAACCAGGTGGAATTTCTACATGGAGAGTGTGGGACCCACAAGGACGACCCATGCAGGAACCTATGTGCTGGCCCTGCCACGCATGCCTCGCGGGAGGGCCCTGGGTCTACCCCCTGAAGTGGCAGCTCTCTGCAGAGTGGGATGGGTCTGATGCATGGCTACAAGCAGGACCCTCCTGGCTCAGGGAAGGCAGGTTCTAGGAACAAGCTTGAAGGGTGGGGGGCTAGGCCACAAGCTGGCCACTGACCTGTAGACTGGAAGACTCCAGGGTTGCACAGGCAGTAGCGTGAAGCAAAGGCCTCCATCATGCGATCAATTTTCTGAGCCTCTCCTGGAAGCCTGAAGCTCCACAAGAACTGCCTGTAGAGAGATGGACATTCACCCCATGGCCACGCTAAGGATGGACCCAGCCTGGAACCTAGAGCCTGCCCAAGCAAAGACGTTCTCTCCTGGCCTGAGATGCCATCCTGGCAGGGGTGCCAGCAAGGAAAGATTCAGTTTCCTTCTGCTTGGTAATTCAAGACAGGCTCACTGACTGCTCTGCCTTTTTATGATACAACCAACTCTTCAGCAAGGTCTGCTGCCACTGCCTTTAAAACATCCAGGATGCCAGCATTTCTTGCCCTTAATTGTCACCACCATCTGCACCCATCACATGGCCACATGAGCCCTCCCACATCCCCATGCCTACCTCCACCCACAATGGCAAGGTCAGAGTCAGCAGGACAGACTCGATGGCCCATCCACACCATTGGGGCCACCTACAGAGTCTGTTGCTACCTAGATGGGGCAGACACACTTCTACTTTAGGGATCAGGCCCAAGGTAATCAAATGCTTCTGTTCTCAGATGTCCCTTCTCACTGAGGTCTCCATGGCGCTGCCTTACCTAAAATGGCAAGCCCTGCACCAATACTCCTGTCCCTTTCTTTGCTTTCCAGCTGCAAGGCACCCAGTACCACCTATTACCTGTCAGCCCTAAGCCCTGAAGGCAGAGATGTAGCTGTCCTGCACCTTGGGGTCCCACAGCCAGCCCGACTTCAGCACAAGGATGAGGGATGAGATTGGAACTATAAACTCCAACTAATTTCTGGACTGTCCTTGGTTGTAAGGTGCTGCTCCTGCAGTGATCAGATGCTGCTCCCCTCCCTCTGAGCTTTTCATCTCTGCAGGTCCCATAAATGCCCTCACTCTACAGACTCCTGCCACTTGGGTCCCTCTTTTTGAGGACTTGCTTCAATAGCTTCAGACTCAATATCCTGCCTGATCCCAGGATATCACGACAGCTGGCTTGGGCTGGGCCACTGCTGACTTTCTCCCTCTTTGCCCCATGTTGGTCAGCAACACACCCCCACCAGGACAAATGATCTCCTGCCCTGCTCCACAGAATGGATGGCTTCAGTTAGCCCCACACCTCTGACTTCCTCAGAATAAAAGCCCAAAGCCTCCAGGTAACTCCTCAAACTAAAGGAGCACCCAGGGGCCCCTCCCTGCTGCTTGCTCCATCAGCGCACCGTCCTCGGCCCTAAGCCACCCTAGCCTTCCCTGCCACCAGCCTGAGGACCCCTTATCCAGTCTCACTTTTGCTGCCATAGCAACTAGCTCCTGATAAGCCATGAAACATAGGTTTTAGAAATATCTATTATCCCTTCTCTCTCTGCCCCATGTAAGCTCTATGGGGCACTCCCAAAGACCAGCAGCCCCACTCTCGGGCACACTGGGATAGGCCCAATGACAGAAGTGCGACAAGCCAAGCAGCACTCAAGGACCCACTGGAGTAAAGCTGAAGTGGCAGCTTTCTGCCCTCTCCTGGCCTTTTGCTATGGATCAGAAACTGGCCAAAATAAATGGCACCACAGAGGTGATGCTGGCTGTGCTGTGGACGTACCCGCCACACTCCCAGGCCTGTGCCTTTCTCTGGATGAACAGTTTTCAAAAACTGAGTCTGAAAATGGAAAGCAGGGCTGCAGGCCTCCTGTGTCTGTGCACCGTCAGTGCACGGCTCAGCCCCGGGTTGACCCTGTGTTATGAGCATCACACAAAACACCACACGTATTTCAGTCTGCAGCTGAAATGAGGCCACAATGTAAATAAGACCATGTAAATAAGACCAGAGTACACGGAAGGAGGTCTAGAATGTGAACAGACAAGACATGGCTATGATAGCCTCAGCTCTGGAGCAGGACAGGTGGCTCCCACCAGAGGCCTGTCCCTGCCGCCGCTTCCTACATAGGTCAGTGGGTCAGAATTAGTACCTAGACCAGATGAAGAGCCATGCCACCCAGCCAGGACACAACAGATAAAGACAAAGAGACAGCCACCAAGATTGCAGGGCCAGCTGTTCAAGTGGGCATTCAGGGAGTATACTGTGGGTGCCAACAGGGCTGTACAGAGTGTCTAAGCACTGTCCTCCTCCATCCACCCTGCGTGACTCAGAGTGACACTGGCTTTCCTTAGACAAGACAGGCCAGAGTGTGGCCTCTGATGGTGGGAGATCTACATCCTCCTGGGAACAATAAGGGTAACCCCCTTGTGCTTGGTGCTCAAGGCCAAGTCTAGTGGAAAATGGGTTGGGGTGATGTTAAGGTCACACCAACTAGAGCATGCAGCAGATATGTGAAGAAAACACACACACACTCCTGCATGTCATTCAAAATGATGGACAACAAAGAAACCACGAGCAGGATGCAGAACTGGAAGTTACAAGGAGGAAAGAGTGATTTGCATCCCTGTGTGCATGTTCCAATTCCTGTACAGGGCTGCAGAATGTCATGCAGCAGAAGGAACATGGGAATGAGCAGCCAGTGTCTGTAGGACTTGCAGGCTCCCTCTGAGTTCCTTGGAGTGAATCAACAGCCACTACTGCTCATGACTCCTCTGGTCTATGCCCAGGGTGCAGCCAAACACTAACCTTAAGGCTTGTACAAGGTTGAGATCAGCAAATTCATGGAGTTCCACAAAAGCCTGAAGAACTTTGATATTAAATTCATCCCTAGGAAAGAGTGGAAATAAATTCAAGTCTAATGTATTTTATCTCAATGACTTAAAAAAAAAAGACACGTCCTACAGCAAGATTTTGCAATTTTAATTTTATATGACTACAAGTGAAAATTGTCCTCTTACTATAAAATTTGTTCTCAGGCTTAAAACAAAACAGAATTAATAGGATTTTAGGAGTGTACTTTCATAGTAGGTGAGTCAGGAAGAAGAACATTAAAATCTCCCCAAAGGACAACCATCATGGCCAATCGGTTCCACTTAGATGCCAAGCTGTGAGGCCTACCCAGTGCTTAGTGTGCACCCTGAAACCTTTAAAATGGCCCCATGAGCAAGGCCTATTATTACCCCCATTTCACCAATGGGGGTTTTGAGGCTCAGAAAAGTAAATTAACTTGCTCAAGGCCATGAACCATAAGGTACAATACTGGGCTCAGAAAGCAAAGCTTGGGAAAGAAACAATACCTTGTATTAGCTTTTAAAAACTAATCATGAAAATAAATGACAACAAAAAGGAAATGACTTAACAATGTGTGCCATTGGCTCTTAACTGAAGGATGCTCCACAGGACCTGGTCACAAGATATATTGAGGATACCCCAAGTATCAAAATGCTGGGGTTCTACCTGCGCCCACCACTGGCCACCTGAGGGTAGCAGAGTGTTGGAATTAATGTAGGCCAGTATTCTCAAAACACTTGTACTTTACAAGAGACACCTGTGACTTGCCCTAGTTGAGAGAGCCTACAAAATGCAGCCTGGCCAGCATGGTGGCATATGCCTGTAATTCCAGCAGCTTGGGAGGCTGAGGCAGGAGGATCGCCAGTTCATAGGCAGCCTCAGCAAAAAGCAAGGCACTAAACAATTCAGTGAGACCCTGTCTCTAAATAAAATACAAAATAGGGCTGGGGATGAGGCTCAGGGTTGAGTGCCCCTGGGTTCAATCCCTGGTACTAAAAAAATGCAGCTTGAAAACCAGTGTTCACTCTCTAGGCAAGTTCACTGACTGTGTCAACACCACAGCCTATGCCAGCGTCAATACTAGACATGGCTGTGGGCAAGTGCCATCTGTTCACAGGCAGCTCCCCCATCTGGGGCTTGCGGGGTGAAAGAGGGAGGGAAGGATAAGTGCAAGGGCACCAAGGTCATGTCCCAACTTCTCTCCATCTTTCTCTTTGGGATCTGAAAGTGGAAGGTGTGGTGTTGCAGTCTCTGATGTTGTTTCAAGGTCCTGATGGCTCCTGTCTGTCCCAGGAGGGCAGTGACCACAAAGACCCTGTCCTAGGAGACAGGAAGAAAAACTGAGGATCCAGCCCTGTCTGACAATGCACCTGTCAGCTGATTCCCACTAAACTGGCACAGTGGCACAGTACAGGGCACACTCAGAGTGAAGGTCTGTGGGTATACATGCCTGCTGTTGCTGAGTGTGGGAGGAGGTAGCATCAGCCAGGTTACGGGGATAGTGAGTGGCAGGCCTGTGACCACATCAGCCACTGCCACCTCAGGGGTCAGTCTTAGAGATATAAAGGCAAAACCCCACTGCCAGAAGGATGCCTGAGCTCCACAGAGGGAGCAAGCTTGCCTGTCATGGCTCACAAGTTGGTGCAAGCTGGTGTGAAGCACCCCAAATGCAGGTGTTGAATATAAGGTGGGATTCCCATCACTCCTCTTCCACCAGTCCCCTGTTCCCTACTCTGAGATGGAGCAACCAAATCTCAATCTTTGCCTTACCCTCTTGGCTATCCACCACCATGCCATGTGGATTTCAATACAGGCTGAACATCTCTAATTAAAAGATCTAAAATCCATTATTTTTGAGTATCATTGGTGCTCTGAAAGTTTAAGAATTCAGGGAATTTAGGATCTTGGATATATCCTAGATATGTCCTTATTATATTTATATATGACTTGCAGATATCTTTCTCCTAAAGGACTATCTCTTTACTTTCTCATTGATGTCATCTGAAGCACAAAAGTATTTCTGTTGTTTGTACTTTTGATGTTGGATCTAAGAAATCCTGGCATAATTCAAGGTTATGAATATTTACCTGTATGTTTTAAGTGTTTTGTGGTTTTGCTTCTTACACTTAGATCTTTGATCCATTTTAACTGTACTGGTGAGGGGTGCAACACCATTCTTTTGCATGTGGTATTCAGTTATCCCAGCACCATTTGTTGAAAAGACTATTCTTACCCCAGTGTATTGCCTTGGAAGTCTTATTCAAAGTTATTTAACAGTAAATATTAGGGTTTATTTTTTATTCTAAATTATATTCTATGACCTTCTGTATGTCCATCCTTACATCAGTACCACATTCTCTTGATTAGTGCAGCATTAGTCTATTTTGTAATCAGGAAGTGTAAGTTCTCCAAATCTGTTCTTCTTTTCTTTTTTAAATAACTTTATTTTGTTTATTTATTTTTATGTGGTGCTGAGGATCAAACACAGGGCCCTTTACATGCTAGGCAAGAGCTCTACCGCTGAGCCACAACCTCAGCCCTCCAAATTTGTTCTTATTTAAGACTGTGGCTATTCTGGATCCTTGAAGTTCCAGATGAATTTTACAATGAGCTTGCCAACTTCTGCAAAGAATTCAGCTGGAATTCTGATAGGGAGTGCATTTGATCTACAGATCAATGTGGAGAGTATTGCCATTTTAGCAATATTAAATTTTCTGACCCATGAACATGAGCTGTCTTTCCATTTTTTTATCTTTTCTTTTTAACAATGTTTTAGTTTTCAGAGTAAATATTTTGTGTATCCTTTGCCAAACATATTTCTAAATATTTTATTATTTTTACTGTTATTTATAATGGAGCTGTTTTCTTGTTATCCTTTTCAGTTTGCTAATTGCTACTGAAACCCAGCTATAATCCAGCTACTTGGGAGACTGAAGTTGAGAGCCTGAGAAACTTAGCAGACTCCTGTCTTAAAATAAGAAATAAAAAAAAGCTGAGGGTGTATCTCAGTGGTAGAATGCCCCTGGGTTCAATCCCCGGTACTGAAAAAAAAAATTCAGTTTTGTATATTAATTTTGTATCCTGCAATCTTACTGAACTTGTTCAGTTTTAATAGTTTTTCAATGACCCCCTTCAGATTTTCTACACACGTGGATCATGTTATCTACAAATAAAAATAGTTTCATTTGCCAAGTGTGATGATGCATGTCTATAATCCCAGCAGCTTAGGAGGCTAAGGCAGGAGGATTGCAAGTTCAAAGCCAGGATCAGAAACTTAGTAAGGCTCTAGGAAGTTCAGTGAGACCCTGTCTCTAAATAAAATATAAAAAGAGCTGGGGATATGGCTCAGTGGTTGAGTGCCCCTATGTTCAATACCTGGTACCAAAAAAAAAAGAAGAATTAATTGTATTTCTTCCCAGTGTGGATGTTTTTATTTTCATTTTCTTGTCCAACTGCCCTGGCTAAAAATGCCAGTACCATGTTGAATAGCATAGTGAAAGCCAACATTCTAGTCTTGCTCTTGATCTTAATTATGCTAAGCTACTTTTCACAGGTGCCCTCCATCCTGTTGAGGAATTTCCTTTCTAGTCTTAGTTTTTTTGAGTGTCTTTATCATGAAAAGCAGTGTTGAACTTTGTCAAATGCTTTTTCTGCAGTTATGGGAATGATCATGAGTCAGATTCTTTATTCTACTGATATATCTTTGACTTTTGCATGCTGAATTAACCTTGTACTGGTGGAATAAATCGCATTTGGTGTGTAATCCTTTTTATTTATTGTTAGATTTGTTTCCTAAAAAATTATTTTTTAAAAAATATTTTTAAGTTGTTGATAGGCCTTTGTTTATTTATTTATTTATTTTTATTTATATGTGGTGCTGAGAATCGAACCCAGTGCCTCACACATACCAGGCAAGTGCACTACTGCTGAGCCACAGCCCCAGCTCCCTAAAAAATTATTGAAATATTGTATTTCCATATTCTAAGAGATACTGGCCTGCAGCTTTGTTTTCTTGTGATGTCTTTGGTTTTGGTCTCAGGTAGTAGAAAGCTCACAGAATGAGTTGGGGAATGTTCTTCTGATTAAGTATTTTTAATAAAAAGCTGGAAACAGAAACGATCTGATTGAGCAACCACTGGGCTTTTAACAATATTCTCTTTGGCCCTTGACAAGTCTATTTAGGCACACTTGGCATGTACTGCTTAAACCTCTGCTAAGCACAGTAAGTGGACTGTTGGGAAAGTAAGTTTGACCTGCTGCTTTCTACTTTAAATATGAACAATCAATTCTTACCTTCATTCACACCCCACGTGATATGGGGAAGAAAATCACTGAGACATCTGGGGTATTTATGGGCCAAACTTCAGAAGACCAACCGGTTATCCAAGATTTTGAGAAAGGCAGCAGTGCTGTCAGTTGTCTCGATTCCCCAAGGGGCACAGATCTCACCTGGACCCAAGTGCCCCCATACCCATCCTACCACACAGTACACAAGAGGAATAATTGACTGTACTAGGTTCCCCCTGTATGGGGGTCAGCACATGCAACCCATGCTTGTGGCTAAGGAGCTGCAAGAACCCCAAAATGGAGGGTAGGCCCAGGTGCAGCTGCCCATCCTCCTTTAACTTACCTCTCACCCAAATAGTCCCCAATGACAGTCTTATTTAGGCCTTCTCCTTTATAGAGGAACTGGGCGACGTCTTCTGGGGAACTCTGTAGCAGGTCATTCTCTATTAGAAACTGAATTCCCTGAAGATCATAAGACAGAAAATGATGATTAGGAGTGCCACTCAAACTTAATTTTCAAGGATGGAATTATATTCATTTGGTCAGAGCAAAAATACCAGAGACCCACTAAACTTCTGACTTTCACAGTACCATGCTACATTTCATCCAGCCAAGAAAAGCACATACCTCCACCCTGGGAACTAAACAGGTTAAAAGACAGATAAATGGGTTGCTGAACAAACCACTTTAAGTGATTGTTAGATATTCTAAAAGCAGATGTAATGTAATAATGATGTTGGATTTCTTAAGCCTGGGAAATGATTTGTTTTGTGTCGGGGTACTCCTCACATGAGATGGATGCTGCTGGCTGGGCAACCTAACACCCAACCTAAATGCCTTTCTCTCTCTCATCCTACACTAGATAATCACTCTCTCAGCTGCCCTTGAAATTCAAAATGACCTTGTTACCACAGATTTGACCAAATAGTCATAAATGAAGCCCATGGCAAACAGCTGGGAAACATTTTGATTTCCTGGTAAAAGAATTCCCAGGAGCTAGCACTGCTCTTCTTCCTTCTTCCTAGTTTGTACAAGGATGTGATGACCTGAGCCAGAGCAGCCATCATATGAGGGAAAGGCTAAGATGAGCACAGACACCTTGTTCCTGTCACTTAGGAGCCATGGACTACATAGCAGCTATGTGAGAAGATAAATATCTATTGTATAATCAAAAGGCAATTTTTTTGGCTAAAATTTCTGTTACCTGAGACCAAAAACACATTAACTGATATGCTACCACTGATCTTACACCAGCTGAAACTGATGCATACTTTAAGGACCTACAGAGCAGAGCTGACAATTTCAAAAAGCAAGAAGCTACCTCTAGCCTGACCCAGTTGCGCTCTGTCTCAGGGGAACCCCAGGGACCCAACATGATAGCAAAAGTTTCTCTCTGGTACAGTTTCAGAGCTGGTTCCAAGATGCACATTGGCCAGGCCAGTAAGGGAACAGGGGATTCTGGTATCTATCTGCCAGGAGGCTGTTCCTACCAATTTAGACAGGCTTTTCTAGCTAAAATTCCCAGGCTCAAGGCCAGGCTTCCTCATACCCACATAGTCCATCTGGAGATTTTTTTTTTTCTCAAATACATGATTGTCTATAGCAGTCTATTTTAGAGTCTCCAAAAACTGGAAAAATCAACCAATAATAAGGCAGATAAACAGGGCTGGGGTTGTAGCTCAGTGGTAGAGCGCTTGCTTCATATGCGTGTGGTACTGGGTTTGATCCTCAGCACCACATAAAAATAAATAAATAAAATAAAGATATCGTGTCCATCTACAACTAAAAGAAAAATACATATTTTTTAAAAAGGCAGATAAACATGTTCTGATGGATACTTGATGAAATAATAACTACAATGAAATGGAATGAGCACTCATTACCATGAAAGCTTCTCGCAGACATGAAATACAGGAGCTTATTTGTTTGGTACTGGGGATTAAACCCAGGGTAGCTTTACCACTGAGCTACATCTCTGGCCCTTTTTATTTTATTTTTAAAATATTTGTTTATTTACCTATCTATTTATTTATTTATTTTTGGTGGTGCTGGGGATTGAACCCAGGGCCTTGTGCATGCAAGGCAAGCACTCTACCAACTGAGCTATTTCCCCAGCCCGAGAATGAGTGAGTATGAATGTGTATCCGGAATCGGCTAGCTCCCTGCCCTGGCCATGTGAGGATTCAGTAACAAGGCAGCTGTCTGCAATCTGAAAGAGGGGCCTCACCAGGCCCCCATCATGTTAGCACTCTTGTCTTGTAGCCTTGTAGCCTCCAGCACTATGAGAAAATAAATACCTGTTGTTTGAGCCATAGTCTATAGCCTTAGTGAACCCAAACTAAGTGCTACAGCCATAAATCTCTGAAACCATGAACCAGTCTAAAAGCAAATAATTTTGATAATTTTTCATCCACATTGCAGGCTTAATGTGCCTCTACATTTACTGAGCAACATGATTACAAATAAGTTGTTGAACAGAACCAGTTAAATTAGTATAAAAATGTCTTTTTGGTGAAAAGGGACACAAATGAAGCCTATTCAGCAATTTGCCATAACCTGATTAAATCCTTACTTCCTTGGATGTGGCGAGCAGCCACCTTGTGAACACTGGATTGTCTGGATTCGGAGCTCCCTACCAACCAACCACAGGGTCCCACCCAGCTCAGCAAAGTAGTAAGTTTATGGTTTGGACCTGAAATGTCCCCCCAAAGTGCATGTGACCTAAGAGGCAGCAGTGTTCAGAGGTGGGGACTTTGAAAGATGACTGGATGATGAGGGCTCTGATCTCCTCAATGGGTGAATCCATTGCTGAATTCATAGTTTAATGGACGCTTGGGAGGCAGTGGAAACTTAGGGGTAGGACCTAGTCAGAGAGAGTTGTCCTTGGCATGCCCTTGAAGCCTGTATCTCCCCAGCCCCTTCCTCTCTCTGCTTCCTAGCTGCTGTGATGTAAGCAGCTCTGTTCCACCACACGCTCCCTGCCATGATGTTCTGTCTCACCACAGGCCCACAGCAATAGGGCGAAGCGATCGTGGACTGAAACTTTTGAAACCATGAACCAAAACAAACCTTTCTTCCTTTAGTTTTTCTCAGGTATTTTTCACAGCAATGGAAAGCTCAGTAACACAAGTGGTTATAGGCACTGAGTCATGAGTCTTCCTTGCTCATGATAGTGGGGTGTTTCTTAATTGTCCTGCGCTTTTTCCCAAACTGTGAGACAAGAATTAAAATGGAACCTCCCTACTTTATAAGGTTGCTGTAAGGATTAAGTATATTAATTAAAGTGCTTCCTTCACATAGTTCCTGGAAAACAGGAAGTTCTCAGTGTTAGCCCTTATTATAAATCTGACACATGGTACATGAAAAGTGAGAGGACAAGCAAGAACCCACAGAGAAGATGTCAAAAGTATGAGGTGAGTTCACATTCATGAAACTGAAGCCTGATGCACAGGGGTAGCATCACTTTAAGAAACAAAATCAGCGTTTATTTATCTGCATGTTCATGAGACTTGAATTTATTTACAAGAGGAATAATTGACTGTACTAGGTTCCCCCTGTATGGGGGTCAGCACATGCAACCCATGCTTTTGTAGCAGAGTATGCTACACTGTGCTATACTTGGGCCCCTTTAAACATGAAGTCCAGTTTCAAAACATTCACCTTTGCAAAGCACCCTGGGATATTTCCCAATGCTTGTGAAATCTGCTGATAATTTAACTCAGTAAACTCAACTTCTAAAGGAAAACAAAAACAAAAACTTACTAACCCCAAAAATGGAATCATTACCAAATGCACAAAAATCATTCCAATTGACAACTCCATTCCATTTTAGAGTTGATTTATGCCTCAAGAGCAGAGAATTAGAAAGCAACTGGAAATTTTTTATGGTGGCTAGAGTATACCAGTTGAACAAAAACCCTATTGCAGCTGTAGATATACTAAGCTCTAAGAAAATCCGAATCTGCAAATCATGCACAAGGAACGATGATATACATTTTTGGGGGGAGGAGGGGGTTGTTTGTTGTTTCAAGACAGGTCTCACTATGTTGCCAAGGCTTGTCTCAAACTCATGGTCTCAAGTGATCCTACCAACCTCAGCTTCCCAAGTAGCTGGGATTTCAGGCATATGCCACCATGCCCAGCTTGATAAATATTTCTTCAAAAATGATTTGCAATGGAATTTGTACTTACAAAAAGTGAGTTTACAAACCTTAGACCTTGTACAATGTACTTCCCGCAAGAAACATTTACTGGGGCTGCGGACATAGCTCAGTTGGTAGAGTGCTTGCCCTGCATGCACAAGGCCCTGGGTTCAATCCCCAGCACCACCAAAAAAATAAAATTAAAAAAAAACCAAACAAACAAATTTACTAATTTGTTTAGAAGCTCAATATCAGAATAAGCAAAGAGAAATAAATGAATACCAATCTTAGACCACCAGCAATGAATAAACCAGCTCTTCAGTTAGACCTTCCATGGGATACCTATCCTCTCCTCCACCATGAGCCTTTGTGACTAACGCAGGTCTACTCTTCTCTTTCAAAACCAAAACAATGTGACAACTGAGTCATGTGTTCTAAGAAGCTTTACAGATTCTGCCAAATCTTTTAGTTCAATCTCAAAAACAAGAGGTTTCATTGTTTTGGGGTGCTTTCCTAGAAAATCCAACTTGAGGAAAGAACAAGGTATTCATTTCAATCAGGAGAATTCCGTGTTATTTCATGGAGGCACCTTTCCCTTAGGGACAAGACAGGGATAAGGTCCTCTTACTTGAACCCTTCAGCCCACCTGACAATGAAATCTACAAACACTGTGCACCTGGACTCCACTCGCACCTCTGCCCTCATTGATCACAAAAGTCCCTGTGAGAGGGCCTAGCTTCTTAGGAAGATATAGGGAGATAAACCTTGAGGGCAAGGGCCCTGCAGGGTCCCATGGCCGGGGAGTGGTTCCTACTAGTTACCTGGAGTCGAGTGTGTTCTTGGAACTCACACAGCAATAAAAGCCTTTCTGCCTGGAAATCAGCTCAACAGGCTGCTTCTGCTTCACCCTGCTCAGGAACAGCCAGACCTCCCCTCCCTGCTTTTGGTTTTTATAAAAATGTAATGTTAATCCCATCTTTTTTATGAGGTGATACAGCCACCTCTGTCCCAAGGGAGATAGCCATTAAAGCTGAATAATCAATCGTTCACATGCCAGAAAACCGAAAGTATTCTCTTACCTTTTTGGGGTCCATGTTGAATTTCTTTCTTCCCATGGCTATTTGTTTGTTCCTCTGAGTAGTTTTGCTATTCATTTGAAATAATTAAAAAATCATTAATAGGTACATTCGGAGAACACAGCATTTCACACAACACAGCCCAGTCACAGCCCTTCAGCACATCTTCCCTCTCACGACAACAACACAGGACAACTCAACAAAGTAAAAAGCATGGGTACACTTGGGGAACTCTGGCTCTTTTTAACATATGATAACTTGAGACATACTTCTTCAGAAAAAAATAATGAAAAATAGCAACTTTTTTTTTTAAATAAAAAAGCACAGTTTCTTATGATACAGAAAATTTATTTCTAGGTAGTTACTTCTGATTGCTTGTGCTTACTCCCAAACTTACAAAGGTAGACAAGGTCTTAGAGGAAGTAAACGGCAGAGCTGCAGCCCTGCCTCCCAGGAGGGGGAAGGAGCCCGGGACAGAAAACTCAATGAACAGCTCCAAAGGCCCCCACAACCCAGGCCTAGTCCTCTCACCCCTGCAGCAAACACCAGTTGGCAAGTTCAGCTAGAGAGTGGAGGTGGGGAGCAAAGAGATGAAGCAACTTGAAAGCGCAGCCATAAACTACTTACCTCTCCTCCACAGAGGTTAAGTTGTCAATCTCTGTCATCACTTCTGCAATTTCATATTTTAGCCTCTGCCAAAAAAGAAGGATTTGGGGGTCGCAGGGTGTCTTAGCCTTCTTCCACCTAGGCTCAGGCACGTTTTAACCTTGTAGATACCACCTTCCCAGAGGGCTCATTGGAGCATTGCAGGTACCACAGGTACCAGCACCCGATACCTCAAAGTCAGAACCAGCACTGCTTAGGAGAAAACAAAATGATTTGTCTACCCCTTGTTGGATGACAGATGAGAGAGGTTCACTAGGCAGACTCTAGAGTACTTGTGTGTAAAGTTAAGAAGGAATGTGGAAGAATATTAGAGGTGTAAAAAGGAAGCCTATCCAGCAAAAAGAAGGCAGCACGTCCCTAGTCCCCGGAAGTATAGCCACTCCCCACGACCTGGCATGGCTTGTGTGCCTTCCCCATGCTGCCTACATTCTCGGGAGACCAGGGGGATGTTGAAGCTCAGACACTTTCAGGTTAGCACTGAGGTAGTTTATCAGCAGCTTATCAGTGACAGAGTGATTCTTGTCACTCTGTCAGGGACAGGGTCCAGAGGGTAAAACCAGATCTGGATCCCTAGGACTCAGAGACCAGAGACATCAGAGGGAACAGACTCCCCTTTCCATTAGTGTGTCCCCTACTGGCTGAGAGGCCCTGGACAGTATCTAAGTTTCCATGGGCCTCAGCATTCTCACTGATGGAATGAAGTAGAGTTAAATTAAGATATCATATTAATTAGGAGTATAATTACTTGTATACAAATAATATAAATTTTTATTCTTCAACTAAAGGACTTATTCTGGGTTACAGGATTTTTCCAAGAATAAAGGATAACCTTAAAATGTCTATAAATTACCTTTCAAATACAAAGAAATTTCTATTCAGGGCCCTATTATTTTGTGTGCCAAGAAAATCAGACTTAAAAGTGAGTTCCTAGAAAGGAGTCATTGTCTGGGATAAGGCCTGGCCCTGCAGCCAATGGCCTTTGAGCCATATTTATTCTGGCAGTGACAATGACTAGGAAGCTTCTTAAGAGGAGCCAATGATTGACTTTTCCAAGCAAGCCCCACATGGAAGGAGCCCAGAGGCCTTGTGAATAGTTTTTGTAGAAATCACAGACACCTCAGCTCTGAAATTGTGGCTTTGTTCATTCGCCCCTCCTAAGGGACATCATTTACCCTGTCCTGAGTAAAGTACACAAGTGTGAGAGGGACATTGTTTATTCATCTGTTTGTCATTTATCTGTTTCTCCTACCACCTAGTAGGTACACAGCTGGAAACCAATATATGTTTGACCATTCATTCAAAGGATATCTGAGTGCCAAAAATGTACTAGGCAACATTCTATGTGCTCAATATATTGTATATGATCAAGATCTTACCATAAGATTTTAGAGGACAATGCTCAGCAGACCTGTGCTGCTGTTTAAACCTGCCACTGTGACTCTGGAGCTGCAAGCTGACTGCTGCAGACTTCAGACTCACTGTCTCCACTTCTGTCCCAGAGTCTGCATTGTCTGACCTAGACAGCTTTTGCTTCTCCAGTTTAGACAACTCTTTTGCTTGGTCTCTTGATGTAGTTCTCACAGCCATACACTAAACACTGATTTTCTATTTTTTCCTGAAGCTACTTCTTATTCATTATTACACCCAAAAGTAAAAACCAAGAGTTTTTTGGTTTTGTTTTGTTCTTTACCTCAATGTCATCAATAAGTTCCTTTTTTCTTCGACGAATGTCCAAAAGTTCTTCTCTCTCTTCTAATGAGAGGTCTTCAGGCACTGAAAAAGAAAAAAAACCAAACAGTTCAACAATACTTTTCTGTGTCTGACAAGGCTGGAGATGGAGGACTGGCTAAAAGGCTGCTTAAGAAAACTACTGATCCTTTCTTCTCATTCCCTTCACTGAAGAACATTTATTTCTTGAGTAAAACCAAAAGGTTAGGGGACACCAAACACAGCTGAGGGCACAGGTACTTCATAAAACTGAGGGTGAGCTAAATGCTGAAGTCTCCCAGTCTTCCCCATGGGGCTCCCAGACTGCAGACCACAAGACTCCCGCAACCCAAACTGCTCTGACTAGAGGTGTGGAAGGTCTTCTCTGCATCAGCTGATCAGCTTCAGGTCACAGATACTGAAACTGAGAGGGAAGCACCCACCACCTGCACACCCGTGTCGCCCAGTAGGGAAACTTGGTCAGCTGCCTTCCTGCTACATTCATAGCTCCCAAACAATTCTTAGTCATTCACTCTCAAATGTGGGTAAACCTCTAACACGTAAAATACATACCAAAACAGACACATGAAAGCTAAGAGAGGTCAAAATGGTTACAGCCTGGGGAGTAAGACATGAGGAAGGGACAGTAGTGTGGGTCTCCCAACCCAGCCCCATGACAAGCTTCTCTAGTACACACTTAACTGATAAATACAAAAATGTATTTCACTCACACCAGATTGGGTTGTGTAGAAAACAAGAAAGAAAAAAAAAAAAAACTGCTGGGAGTGTACATTGGCACAGCCTCTTTGGAACACAATTAGGTACTGTTTATTAAAATCAAAGATGTGCATGCCATAACCTAGCAACTTTACTTCTAGGGATATGTATGTGTAACTAATTTAAAAAACATATTTTTGTACATATACATATATACATACGCATGTTTTATATATATACACATACACATAGATATATGAAAAACTCTCTAGCAAAGTGACAGAGAATATGTATAATAAAAAATAAGCACATTTTGTACATAATAAAAAAAGAAAGGAAATAATCTAAATGCCTATCCAGAGTAGAATGGGCAAATGTGTTGTTGGATTATATACACAATGAAATCCCAAACAGCAGTGAAAATGAATAATACAACAAGCAACAAATGAATGATCTCAGGAAAATTATGTAGAAATAAATACTTTCTATATAAACCTTAAAAACAAAAAGTTAAATAGAATGATAAATACAGAACTGAACTAATACTGAGTGATCGTCTAGGAACAGAGAAGGAGCATGGGATTGGGTAGAAAAGCACAGGATACTTCAAATTTGTAATTTCCTGCCTGTTCTACCAGACCCAAGCTTCATTAAATTCCATATTAGTGATTTCCTTAAGCAATTTTCTATGCTGAGCAATTAATGAGGAAGATATAAATGATAATTTACTGAACCAGACTGGACGACATGCTTTAACAGGTTATCTCAATTAAATCTTCAAAATACCTTTGAGAGCAGCCATTCTTATCTCCATTTATAAGTGAGGAAACCGAGGCTAAGTGAGATCTAATGATTTTCCCTGGAGAGAGACTATTAAAGAAAAAATGCAGGCTGGGGATATAGCTCAGTTGGTAGAGTGCTTGCCTCACATGCACAAGGCCCTGGGTTCAATCCCTAGCACCACCAAAAAAAGAAAAGAAAAGAAAGAAAGAAACAATGGTGGAAATGTCCTAATTTGACCAAGGACATAAATACACACATCCAAGATGCTCAACAAACCCCAGGTAGGATAAACTTAGATACACAAGGTCATGCAACATGCTTTTGGTGGGTCTAGCAGCTCAATAATGTCATCAGTAACCTGGTCTTTCCATTCTGCTTTCCAAAGTGCCAGCTTCATCTTGAACTAAAGCTGATTTCTTTTATGCCAGAGGAATAAGAAAGCACTTCCTTATTCATGGGTCTTTCAAGTTTCTTTCCAGAAGGACCCACAAAGTTTCTCCTCAATTTTTCCTGGATCAACCCGGCTCAGACTAGGGTTTATATGAATCAGCAATAGAATTACTGTGTGTCACACTTAACATTTAAGGGGAAGACACACAGAGATCCAGGTCAAGAGATAAGGTGAGGAAGAGGAGAAAATGATGCTTCCAAAACCAAGAGAATAAAGGCTTTTACCATGAAGAAAACCAACGTCAAATGCCCACACTGTTCAAGAACATAAAGAAGCAACCATGCCAACAGACAATTCTTGAACCTTCAAAGCTATTATTTTTACCACTCTTTCCCCAGTGCTGGGGATTGAGCTAAGGGGGCACTTTACTACTGAGCTATCTCTCCAGTCCTTTTTATATTGTGATTTCTGAGTCAGGGTCTCCCTAAATTGCTAAACTGATCTTCAATCTGAGGTTCTCCTGACTCAGTTTCTGAGTTACTAAGATTATAGCCAAGAGTCATTGTGCCCAGAAGCCTGTATTCTAACAAATAGAATATTATTTCTAAAAGTAGCCAGCTGATTGACACTATCCTGTTACTTGAAAGTAACTTACACCTGAAGTTTTAAGTTAAACTTGTCAACAATGCTGGCTGGGCACCCAAAAGCGGCCTCCTTGGGGGAAAAAAACTCTCTGCTGCTGAGTTCTCCAATGCGGATATATGAAAACAAGAATCCAAAAGGGTAGAGCTGTACTTCAACCATCTATAGACACTTATGTTTCTTTTAAGAATGTCTATTTACAGGGCTGGGGTTGTAACTCAGTGTTAAAGCACTTGCCTAGCACGTGTGAGGCAATGGGTTTGATCCTCAGCACCACATAAAAATAAATAAAACAAAGTTATTGTGTCCATCTACAACTAAAGAGAAAAAAAGTCTATTTACAGTATCTCCCCTCCTGCCCTGAGGATGTGCAGTGTTGGTTAACAACAGAGTGAAGGCTTTGAAGGTGAATATAAACACCACAATGATTTAACGCTAAAGATCCTAAAGCTCCTTCGATCAGAAGCTTTCCAGGATTCCCTTGATTTTTTTTTTTCTCCTCTAGTGATGCCTGTCTTTTCCTACCCCTTTAAGGCACTAAGGAGTAATAACAAAGTGTTTTCATTTATGTTACCAGTAATTCCAACCTTTTTAAAAGACATTTTGTATGGTACGATAATGTGATTGTGGCTATCTAGAAAAATCTTTATTTCCTAGAGACTCATACTATAGTTGTTAGGATTATAATGCTATTAAACCAGTACTTTGAAATACTTCAGCAAAAAAAAGAACTGAGCCAAATAACAACTGTTGAATCTATTTGATAGATGTATGATTATTTGTTATCCATTTTAAAATTTGAAAATTTTCATAGTAAAGAGTAACAGAAAATGTTTTGGTATTAAATGGCCAATATCTTTTAGGATATTCAGCAAAAGCATCAACAGGAAGTAATAGAATACTCAGCACATCTAAAAGACTCAGTCCCCAGAGGCAGAGTGTGCTCAGCATGAGCAAGGCCCGGGAATCAATGCCAAAAAGGGAAAGAAGGACGAGAAGAAAGAGAGTGAAGCAGGGAGGGAGGAAAGAAAAAAGGGAAGAGAAAAAGAAGGAGGGGAAAGAAAAAAGACTTTAATAAAAGGAACTGAAGTATGTGATGAAATATTTCCAGAACAATCTGCACAGCTTCAGTCATTTAAGTATCTTTTCATCCTATTATTTCTCTGGACACCCAGAATGCATAGTGAATATCAACACTGAGCTGTTATACCAGCTGTTTAGTGAAGTTCTATCAGCATCTATCTGCATCCAAAATAACTTTGCAGACATAAATCTGCTGACACACAGGCAATTTCACACATGCAAGTGCTATACTAAAAATGGGATGCTAAGCAATGTTTAGAGAAGGGGTACCGATTATCCAGACCCTTCCCAGGAACACACCAGTTTGCCCTATGAAGGCAACATAAGACTTAGATTGATTTATTGACATTGGCTGTCTATACTTGTTCACTTGGACTCTATTAGGTAAGAAGAAACAAAGGTGTCATGGAGGATTTTTCTTTTTCTCCCAAGAAATCTAGCAATTTATTCTTAAACTGAAAATGAATATATGGATGTGGCTATACCCTAATGCACAAAAAGGCATATGATGAAAACTTTTATTTCAACCTCAATAAAGCTACCTTCTTTGAAAGAATCAAATCAACTGAAAATTTCTGCTCTGGCTGCAAAATCCTAAAGTTTGTTGGATGTCCTTATTATGAGCTTCCATATAGAATTCTGACACTCCAGAGGTGGGCTTAAGAATGGCCCTTCAGGGTTGGGGTTGTGGCTCAGCAGTAGAGTGCTCGCTTAACACGTGCAAAGCCCTAGGTTCGATCCTTAGCACCACATAAATATAAATAAATAAAATAAATATAGTCTGTCCAACTACAACTAAAAAGTAAATATTAAAAAAGAAAGAAAGAAAGAAAAAATGGCCATTCAGGGGCTGGAGTTGTGGCTCAGTGGAAGAGCTCTTGCCTAGCGTGTGTGAGGCACTGGGTTTGATTCTCGGCACCAAAAACCAATAAATAAAATAAAGGTCCATCAACAACTAAAAAAAAAAAATTACTTTTTTTTATATATATATATATATTTTTTTAGCTGTTGATAGACCTTTATTTCATTCATTTATTTCCCCAGGCTGACCTGAAACTCCTTCCTTAGCCACCCAAGTGCCTGGGATTACACATGTACACCACCCTGCCCTGCACAACTCTTCACTGAAATTGACATCTTCTATCCTAAAGTTTACCTTCCTTGCAACACTAACTAATCAACACTAACTTTTTTGTTGTGATTTGGTATTTTTTAGATTTTTGTTCAGTTCAGGTACAAGCCAATTCTATAGGACACTAAGAACACTGGCATGGGCCTGGGAATTAGTCCCTGTTCATCAACTAAATGGAAATTTTGTACACAGGGAAATAATGCCTTTCTTGTGATACTCCAAAAACCAATGATTGAACTGTTTAGAGCACAAGTTCCAAGGGACTACTAGCATGATATGATGATACAAAAAACAAAAAGGTAGACTATAGGCCACCAG